TATCAAAATAACAAAAGAGAGATATTTTTATTCCTATTTTTTAGTGCTCAATTCTCGACTTCGTTCCAGTTCGCCAGAGCTCGTAAATCTGATGTGCTACAAATTTAGAGACGTTTGCCGTTGTACCTATGGGAAGTTATGCCTAAACCGTTAGCTGCCACACGGGGCGTATTCTTCTTGAGGAAAGAGTTTTACTCGCCTCGGCTTTAATCTTTCAGTTTTGTTTTTAAGTTTTAATTTATTTTTTAGTTCAATTGTAATTTTCTATTTTTTAGATTATTTATAACAACTAAAAAATACATATCAATTTATAGGATTCTCGTGTAAGTTTACACCAGATCTAACAATCGCAAGAAGAATAACACAACCTACTGAACTGATGGCATCCACCGGAGAAGGTTCTCAACTACAGCATCCCGTCAACTCTATTGTTCATAATCATGTACCTGCTGTCCATGTCCCTACTAGTGAGAAGCCCGAAAAATTCAACGGGCTTGATTTAAAAAGGTGGCAACAAAAAATGCATTTTTACCAGACCACTTTGTGTTTGGTAAAGTACCTGAAGGACGACCCTCCGGTCATTGCTAAAAATGAGACCAATGTTGAACTACGCACTGCGTACGAGGCTTGGGGGCAAGGTGATTACCTTTACCGTAATTATGTCCTTAACGGACTTAGTAACGAGTTGAACAATGTGTACAGCTCGGTTGGATCTGCCAAAGAGCTTTGGGTTGCTTTGGAGAAGAAGTACAAGACTGAGGATGTCGAGGCGAAGAAATTCGTCGTCGGCAAGTTTCTTGACTTCAAGATGGTCGACTCGAAGACCGTCGTGTCCCAAGTGCAAGAGTTTAAACTTATCTTGCACGATATCCATGCTGAAGGAATGTCTCTGAGCGAGTCATTCCAAGTTGCGAGTGTGATTGAAAAGCTGCCGCCGAGTTGAAAAGACTTCTGAACTACCTCAAACATAAGAGGAAGGAAATGATTCTTGAAGACTTGGTTGTTCGTCTTCATATTGAAGAAGACAATCGTAATTCATCGAGGAAAAATTCTGATGATGGAGGCTCGTGCTAACTTGCTGGAGCAAGGCAACTCGAGCAAGAGGAAGCCTCTTGAAAAAGGGAAGCAGCAAGCCAAGGTTTGGAAGTTTACCGGCACTTGCTACAACTGTAGAAAACCAAACCATATGGCTAAAGACTGTAGAAGGCCAAAGAAGGTTGTGCCAAAGAAAGGGCAACCGAGTGCCCTTGTTGCTGAACACGGCCCTGTGTCGAGTGAACTAACCGACTTTGATATGTCGGCTGTGGTGTTTGAAGCCAATATGGTGGATAACCCAAGGGAGTGGTACATCGATACTGGTGCCACTCGTCATGTGTGTTCCGATAAGGAGGTATTCTCTGAATAAACTCCTGCTAAGAGTCAGAAACTTTACATGGAAAACTCCTCCACGGCTGATGTGGCTGGAGTGGGCATTGTGGTGCTGAAGCTGACTTCTGGAAAGAAGTTGAAGCTTAAAAATGTTCTGCATGTCCCAGACATCCGCAAGAATTTGGTCTCCGGATCTCTTCTTGTTGAGCATGGATTTAGGCTGGTATTTGATGCTAAGAAGTTTGTTCTTAGCAAGTTTGGAACTTTCCTTGGTCGTGGCTATCTCGGCAAGGGTATGTTCAAAATGAATGTAATGGCCGTGAGCCGTGTAACTGTTTTAAATGATAATGAAAAGCCTATTTCTGTTTATACCGTTGTGTGCTCTGATTTATGGCATATTAGATTGGGACATGTAAATCTAAATGCAATTAAACGGTTAATGAATTTAGAATTAAACCTAATTCTAAAATTGAATACAGAAGAATTGTGTATTCTTCGGCGAGCTGCCGAAGTGCTTTTTTTTTTTTACTATTTTTCGAGGTCAGTTTTTGACCCTTTGACGTGAATTCGAGGTCGGGCACCGACATAGATTCTTCGGCAATCACATGTTGTTGAGCTAGGGCGAGGAACTCCCTGAATGTACTGGGCTTGTTCTGACAGAGCGCCCAGCGGAACATTGACTTCGGTTTCAGGCCCGCTGAGACGAGGAGCGTTTCTGGGTGGCAGGGCTCCATGTTCTGCACACGCTCGTTGAAGCGTGCGACATAATCCTTCAGGCTTTCGTCATCCCATTGGACGATGTCGGTAATTTATTCCTTCGGGATTAAACAGACTTGGGCCCCGATGAAGTGGGACCTGAAAGCCGACCTGAGTTGACACCAGTATCAGATTGACTCGGCTGGTTGCGAGTAGTACCACATTTGGGCCTTGGGGCCTAAAGTTAGGGAAAACATGCGGCATCACAGGGCGTCATTGGCGCCATGCAGGTCCATCCATGACGTGTAATGGCCGAGATGGGCATCGGGATCGGAAGCTCCGTCATAAAGCCCGATCTGTGGAAATTTGACTTTTCTTGGTAAGGGACCCCTCGTCAGCTCGTGTGCTAGCAGGGAGTCGATTTCTATGTGCACTTGGCCGGGCTCGGAGATGCGAGAGTATAGGGGAGGCCTAACTTGGGTGGTACGCCGAGCTTTGAGCTCCGCAACTCTCCTCCTCAACGCCTCCACCTCAGGGGTGCCGCGTCTGGTGGATCGGTTTCTTTCGATTTGTTGCCGCAGATCGGCTGGGTTTTCAGGTTGTTGGAACAGCGGCCGAGCTGCGGCTGCAGCTCTTCAGGCGTGTCCAGAGTGACGTTCCGCAGTCATCTCCGGTAGGTTTGTCTCCGGCGGATCGGTTCCTGCCGGAGGGCCTTGTGGATTGTTGTCACGTGGCCGAGACGTTGCATGCGACGCGGCGCGGTTGTCGTCGCGTCCTTGCATTTGCGGGATCCATTGTCTCGCCGGTGTTATCGAGGCGAGGGATTACTCTGACATTGCTTTGGTTTGTGCCAGCAACGCCGCGAACCCCTGGCGGAACTCCGGATTTTGAAAGAGTGTGGCCAAATCTGGCATCGTGGGTATCACGTTATTGCGGCCAGCGGATTGGTCTGGGACGCGATTGGCGCTGCCCCTAGTTGTTTGATTGTCCTGTTCTGATTGAGACATGTTCTCATGGACAAGTTGAAAGTGACAGCTTGAACAAGATGTTGTGTTTGCTGGATTCAAAATTTGACTCCAAATATCATATGGAGCCTTTCCTCTAGCGCCAAAATGTTGATAAACGGAATTTAACAACTTTTTTAAAGTAGGTAAGATGATGTACGTTGCAGAAAATGGGATTTTTATTAAGCTTTCAGAAGTCAGTTTTTATAATTGAAGAAGTCGGTACTTCAGTACAGGAGGTCGATTTTTCTACAAGCAAGGTGTTTTAATGCTCGAATTGAATGTGTTAGAAAAAGATTCTCGTATTGAGTTTAATACAGCTATTTATAGCAACATTCGGTTCGCCTTTTGATGAGATTCAACGGCATTTAATGCGAATTGACGGTATAGGGTCAGCTGTCGCGTAGGTGGGCCCAGATATAATGATGAGGGCATGGGTCGTCTGTTAGTCGACTGACAAGCATCGCATCTTTGCCGGAAAGAAGTCGGGTCTGAGTGACCTCGGTTCACTGGGGTCGTCAGGTGACTGTTGGTTAAGAAACGTCGGGTACTCAACTATTCACCCCGACCTGTGGCCCTTAAAGTCGGTCTAACTCTGACTTAGCTTATACTTAAACCAAAATTCATCTCCGTTGACCCACATGGCGCATTCACGGTTGTTCATATAAGTTGATATCAACAACTATAACACATGCTTTTTTTTTCCTTTTTTCTTAAGAAAATGACAAGAAAATATTATTGCTACTAAATCGTTGCAATAAACAAAGTTTAATGCAATCAACTACTTTTTTCTTATCATATATAATAAATGTTTGTTTTATCAAAATATATTTTACTCTTTTTATAGTTTATATATACAATTTAAATGTATTTTTCTTATTAATTTACATTTTTAAAAATTATATTAAATTACATTTCACATAAGCATGCAAAAAATAAGAAATTTGTTATTGACACGAACATAAACGATTATTGTGAACGTTTGTAACTTTACAAAAAGTGATGAATCTTTCACGTTGTTCTGATCACAATCGGACTTTTTGCAGAGAAATGAATTACAAATTTATTATTCCAATTAGAAAAAGTGAAAAAACATAGCGATCGAAATAGGATCATTTTTTATTTTTTTCTTAAGTACTTAATATATTTTGTCAATTTTAAATGGCTCATCTTTGTACATTTTTATTTGAATCCGTCAATATCAGTTCATCTATAGAACAGAAATAATATCTTTATTTATTCAAAAATGATAAAATTATGTTATTATCGAGATATTTTTGAAAAAAAATTCAAGAAGTGTCATTTAATGTGACAAATCTTTTTTTGGTCAAATATCACTAATATTTTTTTAAGTAAAATTTATTTAATTTATAATTTTTATAAAAAAAATATAAAAAAAAAAATGTATGGTACTTTATAGTCACAATCAATTATATCTTGTTGTTTTTATAGTCAAGATCCCTGTTGTTTGATTATTATTATTATTTGTAATGATATTTGTGATAATGAATATAATTCACCTACTACTAATATTATATTTAGAACAATAAATTAAAATATAATAAATAATATTTCCATCTACTTCATTTTTAACGTCATTTTTTAAATCAAATCGCGCAACGCGCGGGTGTCGTACTAGTAGATATAGATACTTACAAATCAATTGAATAAATACATGTCTCAAATACAAAGTGAAGAGGTCTTGAAAATAAAATATAAAATCCTTGGATCATGAGCTTCAAGATGTCGTTTTCACTTTTGTTGTACATATTTGATGTTTTCCACACAAATTATGTACCAGGACCAAAACAACTATGCCACATGCACATACATCACCAACCTCTTTTTTGCGCACACAGTGACACAGTGCAATCCAAACTTAATTTGTTCAACTTGGCAATACAGAACGAAGCACATTAATTATAAAAACCACTAAACACAACAAAGGGTCTCAACGTATTGAAATGCATCCGCACCCGAATACCTCAAACGACCTGCTGAATTAACACCCGCGAACTCGTACAGCATATCGAAAGTCCCACAAACGAGATTATACCGAACGGCTTTTCCAGGAATCTGAACAACCAAAAACGAACCTTCCTCCTTCTCACCTCGAACTAAACAAAGTATAGAAAATGCGTAGCGAGACGAACTTATTGGGCAAACACTTGGATAAGCCTTTAAAAGAGGCAAAAGATTGACCTCGTACTTAACAAACCACTCAGAATAGTCCCTCCTCATCTCGTACACCTTAAATTGCAAGATCCGCCCAATCCCCTTGATATAGTGCAAGTGTCCACAAGACTCTCCCAAATAATAATCGTCCTCACAAGACTCTCCGAAATCATCATCGTCATCGTCTGCACAATCCCAGCCGGCAGGAGGAATTGGCATTGTCCCAAACAACTGATTATCAACATTGAAATATAGAGAATCATTTCCAGTTCCATTGCTAGTCCAGTGAATGGCTCCATTCCAATACACCCCATTTTCAAAATCTACCCCGACTTGTGGGGTCTGCCCGTGATTTCTCCAAGAGCCCGTTTCCGATGAATAAACCTCCAATTGGCACTGCTTACAGCCCGATTCCCGTCGGACGCAAATAACTTTGTAATGAGGAGAGTTGATTAGATCAAAAGCCAAGCTCATCCCACATATACCCACCGAGTCTAGTTTGGGAAGTAGAATAAACTTATTGGTGGTGGGATTGTGAACATAGTACTTCAGATTGCTATCACGAGCCCTGAAGCTTGAACAGAGTAAGAGGCCATTGCAAGAGTGGAGGATCTTGATGCCGTATGGGTCCTTGACGAACTTCAGTTTACGTAACTGTGGCTTGGTGGATTCGAGGCCCGTGAAAGGGACGTATTCTATCCGAAGACGGGCCACATAGTGCACACACTGAAGGAAGATCCCCGCGGCCGGATTGGGAATGGGATTGCGCTGGATACTGAATCTTGGATTGCTGATGAGACGATGCCACTGCTTTGAAACTCGTCTTAATTGAACGAGGTCCTTTATCGGGAGGCAAAGGAAAATCGCAATTAAGAGATCGTCTATTGAGAAAACAGTTTGAGCTGAATCCGATTCATTTGTTCTTGGGACCTTGCCTTTGATTTCCATGTTGGTAGTGTGGTGGTATTGATATATGAGTTGTTATTTCATATGTTTGGTACTCTGGTATTTATAAACTCTCTGCTTTTGAATGGATCGCTTTGGAAGCTAAAACTTGGAGAGTAAGTCAAAGACGAATGAGTATTGAAGAGGTTTTGATAACTAGGGCTGCTTGGGTTCATTATAAAACCATCTCTCAATAAAGTTCATAAAAATTAAAACAATCTCCCTTATTCCATCTTCTATATATATATAATTACTAGCTCAAAACATTTAATAAAACCTATTTAATTTTACCTATGTGGCAATTTAATAATTTTCCCTCCAAAAACCGTTACATTTTGATGTATTTAATCTTTCATTTAGTCATTAAATAATTAATACTCATCACTTCAAAATTACAAAAATTATTTTAAATTTTTTATTAATGACAGTTGACCATATAATGTGTTGACCGTATAATGTGATTAGATGTTATTATTGTTGTTACATTTATTTTAAAAAAAAAATAAAAAATATATTTGAAATTCCTAAATAAATAATAAATAATTCACAAATAAAAGACGTACCAAAATATACATTACATCCAATCAGATAAACGCAATTTAAAAAAAAATATTCCAACTCTTTTAATTGTAAATTTGGTCTGCAAAAAAGTGAAAGAAAAATAATTAATCATTATATGCATACAGACTCACAATAATTTATTTATATCTGTGCAAATGCACAGGTCGAATACTAGTTATAACTATAGAGTGGAGAAATTTTCTCCTCCAATATTGCCACATCTCCATACATGTCAATACTGTTGCGCTACCATTTTTTTTTTCTGTAATTTAATTCAATTTATAATAATTTTTTGTGTAATGTATATTAGTAAATTTATTTATTACTAGTGCGTGCAATGCACCTTGTTACTTATAACCTTTTTTTAAAAAATTATTTTAGACATAATTATTTATATTTACCATCTTATTATTGCAAGAAAATAAAAACAAAATATAAAAAATTATATATTATTGATTTCAATAGAATGAGTGTCCAAACCAAACCAATAATCTATAACATAGGATATATGATAAAATTAATTAAATGAATCTTCATGTTTAAAAAAAAAAGTTTAAACAAAAATTATATATTTCAAAAGCGGTAAAATTCAAATTACATAAAAAAATGCAAATATAGTAAAAATAAAAACTTGAGATGGGATTTTCCTTACACACACATATTTTTACTTGATTTAAAGTGGTATTTATTTTAATTTATTTAAAAATGTATTTTCTTCGACAATATACATTAAGTATTTAATAAGTATATAAATTTTTGAATAAAATCTAATAAAGATTCTCGATAAAATGAAATTTGCATTTAAAAAATGTTGCAGATATACACACTACGGAATTTTCAATTATGGAATGAAAAAATTAGTATGGAAAGGTGGATTTTGTAACCCCGTTATTTTAAAAAGAAAAATGTCAGATTTTCAAATATAAAAATAATTTTTTTGAAAATAACTATCTAATTAAAACTGTTTAACGGGGATTACTCAATATCAAACAACCCTGCTCACAAAGAATAAGATACAACTTAGGCCAAATAACATTTACATATCAGAAATCGAGATATAAACCAATATCCCAAGCAGAGTAATCTTGGATCATAGTTCATACCATAACAATAAATTCATATATTCGATGACATAATCTCAAATCATAACCAATCGTACTCAGTTCAACATATCCAATATACAAGTTTTGAAATAATTAAGCGGAAGCAATTAAGCTATTTACAATATCAATAATAATGACAATAATAAGCGGAAGCAGATAACAGTTCATAAACTCGTCCTTTGCCACGACTACCAGCTCAACCTGAAAGGGAGAACATATTGGGGGTGAGCAAACAACAAGCTCACCGTGGGAATACTATGTGATATTTTTCAGATAATAATTGACAACATAATCGCAGCATGAACACAAATCGCAGTGGGTATAAATCTCAGCCATTAGTACCTTTTTCGGGACTAATACAGAGAAAGAAGGGGCTCGGTTTGTTGCATCTCGGTGGCTCACTGCTCACGGCTTGGACAGCTCGAGACTTCTTGGCTATGCTCGGTCTCGCAGGTCGAGGTCGAAGATTGAGGTCTGTCCCGAAACGGTCGTCGGTGGTCTCGTCACATCAATTTGAAGGTTGTCGGTCACAGGTCGAGGACGTGGCTAGAATTCGAAGGTCGCCACCGTTGTCGAATGACGGGCTGAACATAGCTCGGTCGTCGAGAGCACAAAATCGCCCAAAAATGGTCGGGGCTCGGGAGCAGCTGCGGCTCGACGATTCCACTCCTTTTATTCGTGTATGCTTCCATGTATGCACCTCTCCACTTGTTTACATTTTCATTAGGACGTTTATAACAACATTTCATTGAATCCAAGTTTCTTTCAAAAATTTCTTCCGGATTTTCTAATCGTGATTGTTCAAACATACCTGGTATGTGTGTCAACAACGAAGAACCCTTCTGATTCTTGCCACATATTTTGTCTTCGCTAACGAAACACCAAACTGACATTAGAGCAAGATCTTACGCCACACTCCAACTAACGGTTTTCGTTCTTTTTTGAAGATTTGTGTGTGTCTGTTGCACATTTTGAAATAGATTTTGGGAGAGGTTTTGTGGGGGTTGGACATTTATAGAAACTAGAAATTGGGTAAGATTCGGAGAAAATGGCTCTTGTGAATAATTTTCGAAATTCTGAAAATTTTCAGAGTTCAAATTTTTTTTAGAATTGAGGTAATACTAAAAATTTGGATATATATGGTATTTGTTGGAAATTAGGAAAAATAAAAGAGATGATAAAATTAATAAGGTATGATTAATAAAATGGTGAAAAGAGAGAAGTTTCAATTGTGTTCCAAAACTTATCAAGAGTTGTCTCTATTTATAGAGAATAAAAAAATACGAATTTTGATATTTTTTATTTTTTTAATATAAAATAATATCAATAATTTGAGTTATCTTATCTTATCATTTAAATTTGTAAGGGGCCTATGGGAATGAGACAAGTGTCCCATTCTCTCATCCCTTTGTCCAAAATTGCAAATAAAATAAAATAAAATAAAAAGCATGTAACCGAGTTGCTACCCAAGGTCCCTATGTGACCTGGGTCTAAAAGGACCAAAACAACTATGCCACATGCATAGACATCACCACAAATCTTTGTTGCGCACACAGTGACCCAGATAGAAAAGAAAAGGCAGCCACACACAAACTAATATCACGAGAATAACATGGAAATTGAGAGATTTAATGCAGTACAAACCAAACTTTGTTCAACCTGGCAACACACAGCTAAGCACATTAATTGTAAAAACCACTAAATACAACAAAGGGTCTCAACGTATTGAAATGCATCCACACCCGAATACCTCAAACGACCTGGTGAATTAACACCCGCGAACTCGTACAGCACATCGAAAGTCCCACAAACGAGATTATACCTAACGGCTTTTCCAGGAATCTGCACAACCAAAAACGAACCTTCCTCCTTCTCTCCTCGAACTAAACAAAGTATAGAAAATGCAAAGCGAGACGAACTTGTTGGGCCAACACCATGTCGCTTAATACTTGGATAAGCCTTTAAAAGAGGCAAAAGATTGACCTCGTACTTAACAAACCACCCAGAATAGTCCCTCCTCATCTCGTACACCTTAAATTGCAAGCTCGGCTCCATCACCTTGATATAGTGCAAGTGTCCACAGGACTCTCCGAAATAATAATTGTTCACACAACGCCAGCCAGCAGGAGGAATTGGCATTGTCCCAAACAACTGATTATCAACATTGAAATATAGAGAATCATTTCTATTTTCATTGCTTGTCCAGTGAATGGCTCCATTCCAATACACCCCATTTTCGAAATCTACCCCGACTTGTGGGGGCTGCCCGTGATTTCTCCATGAGCCCGTTTCTGATGAATAAATCTTCAATTGGCACTGGTTATGGTCCGTGATACTAATAACTTTGTAATGAGGGGAGTTAATTGGATCAAAAGCCAAGCTCATCCCACATATCTCGCCTCCCAATTCTGGTTTGGGAAGTAGGACAAACTTATTGGTGGTCGGATTGTAAACATAGTACTTCCGATTGTGATGAGAGGTCTTGAAGCTTGAACAGAGTAAGAGGCCATTGCAAGAGTGAAGAATCTTGATGCCTGATGGGTCCTTGACGAACTTGAGTTTCCTTAACTGTGGCTTGGTTGATTCGAGGCGCGTGAAGGGGATGTATTCTATCCGAAGACGGGCCACGTAATGCAGACACTGCAGGAATAGTCCGGCGGCCGGATTGGGATTGGGATTGGGATTGCGGTGGATACTGAATCCTGGATTGGTGATGACACGATGCCACTGCTTTGAGACTAGTTTTAATTGAATTAGTGTCTTTATGGGGAGGTAAAGGAATAATGCAATTAAGAGATCGTCTATTGAGAAAACAGTTTGAGCTGAATCGGATTCATTTGTTATTGGGTCCTTGGGTTTTATTTTCATGTTGGTAGTGGTGGTATTCATATAATGTTTGGTACTCTGGTATTTATAAACTCTATGCTTATGAATGGATCGCTTTGGAAGCTAAAACTTGTTGACTAATTCAAAGACGGATGAGTATTGAAGAGGTTTCGATAACTACAGCTGTCATTAGTAAATTTAAACCCTCTCTCAGATAAAGTTCATTAATCATTATAAAACCTTCTACCTTATTCCATCGTTATAGCTATAGAGAGACGAAATTTTCTCCTCCAATATCGCCACATCTCCACGCATATGTGAATACTGTTGCGCTACCATTTCTTTTTTAATTTAATTCAAGTTTTAATAATTTTTTGTCTAATATATATTAGTAAATGTATTTAATATGTTAAATAACTTATGTTTTTAATCTATTGATGTATTATAACTTTATTTTGCAAATTCTTTAATCTCATAGTACCATATAAATAAAAACTTATCACCATAAAACGAGTAGATCTAATTAAAATGAAAAGTTACAACAAACATAGATAAAAAAAAAAAATTACACAAACAAACACAAAATGATTAAAATTCGAATGAATTTAAAATTTCCAAAACACATGAATAATAAAATTTTTATTCTAGAGAATATGTGTAAAATTATTTTATTCTAAATTATAATAGTGAGAACAAAATAATTATTTAATTTAAATAATTAAATATTTGTAAAACAATATATCTAATTAAATTATATTTTTAANATACAATTTAATAAAAAAAATTCAAATACATCATATCACTTCCATATATCCAATTATTTAGGAAAAAATACATCATATGACTTCCACATCACTTTTTTTTTTATGAAAAATCGCCAATACCACATTCATTTTCAATACTTCAGTTTTATTATTTATTTATTTATTGAAATATTGTTCAGATCAAAGAATGGAACCAGATATGTCTCAGCCAGCAGATGATGACCAATTTCTTGAACTCAGTCATGAGGACAGGAAGAAACTTAAGATTACAACTGAAGAGGTGGAGGTTGCCAGCCTTGAATGGCACCCAAGTGATCAATGCTAGCCATGGTGTGGAATTGTAGAGGGCTGGGTGGGCCCTCTACAGTTTCCCAAATCCGAGAGTCATATAAGACTCACCATCCATCTTTTATTTTTTTATCTGAGACAAAAAAGCAGAATGGTTATGTTAAGTCAGTTAGCAAAAAGCTGGGGTTTGAAGGTAGATCAGTTATTGTTAATCCTATAGGCAAAAGTGGAGGACTGCTTCTTCTATGGAAAACTGAAGTCGCCATTCTGCAAGTGCACACAAAGGATTTCTACATTGCAGTGGAATTCACAACCCATGATTCCACTGCTTCATGGGGCATCTTTGTATATATGAGCACAGATAAGGTTGTTAGAATTCAACAGTGGGAAGAACTTGAAGCTGAGAAACCGAGATGGGGAGAAAATTGGTTCATCATGGGGGACTGGAATGATATTTGTTGCTCAGAGGAAAAAAAAGGGGACACATCAGAAGAGATAGAAGCTTTTTACCATTCAAATCCTTTATTTACAGAATGGAGATGGAGGAAATTAATATGAGAGGCTACCCCTTTACTTGGGCAAACAACAGAGATCTTGAAGGATTGGTAGAAGAAAAACTAGATAGAGGGTTTGCTTCTATTGATTGGATTGAGGCTCATCCACAGTCCTCGGTTACTAATGTCATCTCTAGTGCCTCTGATCATGCTATTCTTCTGCTGAATACTGGGGTTTCTCAAGTCAGGGCAAAGAAAAGGTTTTCTTTTGACAAAAGATGGCTGGATAGAAATGACTGTTATGATGTTGTTAAAACAGCCTGGACCAAACCTCAAGTAGGTACACCACTGTTCATTCTGAAAGAAAAGATAAAAGCCACCAGAATTGCTCTACTTCTTTGGAGCTCAAAAGACAAATCTCCGAATTTCAAGAACATTCAAACCCTTACCCATAAACTTGAAGAACTGAGATGTGAAGGGAGAAGCCAAGTCTGGGAGGAATGGGAAAAGACCAGAAATGATCTCAACAAAGCTCATCACCAGGAAGAGACATTTTGGCATCAGAAAGCTAGAACCAACTGGCTCAAACATGGAGAAGGGAACTCAAAATTTTTTCATGCCTATGTCAGACAAAGAAGGAAACAGAATTCCATCTCCAGGCTAGTGGACCTTAACAACTCATCTTACCACACTCAAACTGAAATTGAAGGGCACATCACAGACTTCTACAACACCCTGTTCACTTCAGAAGGGTCTCATGGTGGAGAAAATCTACTCCCTCTCATCCCTTGTTCAATAAATGCTGAGATGAACAATGATCTGCTCAAGCCAGTCACAGAAGGGGAAATCCACACAGCTTTATTCAGTCTTGCACCTGACAAAGCTCCTGGAGAGGAAGGTATGACCCCTCTTTTCTATCAGCACTTCTGGAATATCATTAAAGATGATGTGACTAAAGCTATCATGAGCTACTTTTCCTCTGGTCTTCTTCTCAAATACTGGAACAAAACTCTTGTTACTCTTGTGCCAAAATGTCACAACCCTGAACAAATAGGCCACTACAGACCCATTAGTTTATGCAGTGTGACTTATAAGATTATCTCTAAGATGCTGGCTTTGAGATTGCAATCAGTTATCAGCTCTTGTATCAGCCCTTGTCAGTCTGCTTTCATTAAAGAGAGGCAACTGTTGGATAATGTGATTATAGCACAAGAAGTCTTCCACTTCCTTAACAGACACAGAACTGGGAACAGTTGCTTTATAGCTTTAAAACTTGACCTCATGAAAGCTTTCGATAGAGTTGAATGGAAAAGCATCAAAGATATTATGATCAAAATGGGTTTTAATGTTGCTTTTGTTAACTTGGTTATGGGCTGCATCACCTCACCTTCTCTTGCATTTAAAGTCAATGGTCACATCAGCAATACAGTCTTTCCTACTAGGGGTATACGGCAAGGAGACCCTTTGTCTCCTTATGTATTCTTATTAGTGGCCGAACTGCTATCTGCTATGATCACTAATGCCATCAATGAGGGTCACTTGACAGGGCTCAAAATCTCCAGGGGAGGACCAGTTTTATCCCACCTCCTCTTTGCTGATGATGCACTTTTCTTTGGCAAGGCTAGCTTGAATCAAATTCAGACTCTATTGTCCATCCTAGAACATTTCAGAATCTTCACAGGGCAAAGGGTGAACTTGCAAAAATCTTCAGCCTTCTTCAGTCGAAATACTCCCCTTTCTCTTCAGAACAGGATCTGCAACCAGCTGCAAGGTATCCACATACACCAATCTACCAGATATCTTGGTTTGCCCCTTGGCATTGGCAAATCAAAAAAGGAGGCCTTTGACTATGTCCTTCAGTCAATCAGAAACAGACTCACAAGTTGGAAAAGCAAGTTGTTATCCCCAGCTGGCAGAGAAGTGCTAATAAAAGCTGTGATCAATGCTATTCCAGTTTTTACAATGGCTTGTTTTACATTACCTGGGGTGATCATCAATGAGATTTCTAGACTTTGTGCAGCCTATTGGTGGAGCAGAGGTGAAAATCAAGAAAGGGGCCTGCATTGGAAAGCTTGGAGCAAGATGACCATCCCAAAATCTGAGGGTGGTCTTGGATTTCAAGATATCAAGTCATTCAATGAAGCCCTCATCTGTAAACAACTCTGGAGAATCACATCTCAGCCACACCTTCTTGTGAGTAAAGTCCTGAAAAGTAGATATTTTCCCTCTTCTTCTATATTTGAAGCTGTTAAAACCCAAAACCGCTCCTGGTTATGGAACAGCTGGCTTGATGTCATCCCTACCTTTGCCAAAGGTTACAGAATCAAAATTGGGAATGGTGCAACCACAAAAATCACAGATGCTAATTGGGTGCCATCTCTCAAAACTCTTCAGCCAAACCTTATGGAACTGGCTCGGGATCATCTGATTTGGGTGAAAGACCTAATGAATGACAGTGGCTTCAGTTGGAATGAATGGCTTATAACACAAGTTTTCAGTGATGAGGAAAGTCAGAAAATTCTCAGAATATCATCTCTTAATCCAACAAGAGAAGATAAAATGTTTTGGGGTCTGGATAGGAAAGGTCTCTTCTCAGTGGCTTCAACCTACTCCCTTCTCATTAATAAAAAGGTGTTACAACTAGACATTCCTCAATCCAGCAGCAATCAACTTCTTGTCAGAAAAGCCAAAGACAGAACATGGCAGCTGAAAGTCCAAACAAAGCTAAAACACTTCATCTGGAAATGTTGCTCCAATACTCTTCCTGTGAGGGCTAATCTGCTGAGAAAAGGGCTGAACATTGAACATATTTGTGCAGTCTGTGGTGATGCTATTGAGACGGTTTGTCACATGTTTTTCAACTGTTCTTATGCTAAAAATTTCTGGGAAAAGAGTCCAGTGCAATGGGATGGGCTAGACACAAGTTCTCCAAAATTCTGTGATTGGTGGTGGCAGGTATGCAACATAGGCAAATCTGATATTGCAGAAGCGCGCATTCAACTGACAACGTACTTACTTTGGTGGCTCTGGAAGTCACGAAATCTATGGATATTTGAAGGAAAAGGTCTGCCGCCACAAGTAGCTATCATGGCGGCCACAAGGGATTGGTTGGAATTTTCTTTGCTGTCATCCTAGTATTTCTTGTATTTTGTTTAGTTGGTTTTTTATTTCTTTCTTTTGCTTCTGTCTCCTTTGTTTTGGTTAGGACATTGTAGCCATGCTAGGCTTTAGCAGTGGTATAGCTCGATGTTCTTTTGATTTATGTTTCTTTTACATCCCGTATGTGGGATTTCTAGGCCGCTTTTTAGCGTGTCCTCCCTATTTTTCATTTCGGCTTTGGGTCGCATTTGTATTCGAACTATGTTCTTGTTGAGATTGATATAAAATTCCTTTCGTTCCGAAAAAAAAAAAAAATTCCATATCCAATTATTTTAGGAAATATCAGGTTGTTTTGCGCGTGATTTTTACACAGAAATTTAAAGTAAATAATCTACATTTTTACACTCTTCTTTAAACTTTCTTTTTTATCGAAACGAAAAAAAAAAAAATTATTTAACACAATTAGTAGTCCAAGTGTGTCATTGACTTTTTCTCGGTATGTAGTGCTTGATATGTCCCGTAAAATCTGAAAATTAGTTGATCAATAAGAACAAAAAATTAATAATTTATTTTCAATGAATAATTAAAAAATTCAATGAGCGTAGCAATTATTTTTTATCATACACAATTAAATAAATAGTCGATTAATAACTTAATCACACTACAAGAA